GAAACCCAAGTCTTTGAGATTTGCTTACGCTGAGAATTACGGCTCTTGTGATTTAGCGATGAGTCAGGCCTCTCCTGGCAGCTGATCTTCCTGGGGCATTGCAGGAAGGGCCCCGTCCCCATCCCCTTTCGCGGCTGCTGTTTCACAGGTGGATGGAGAGGGAAAAGGCAGTCATCAAACAGTTTAAAGCCTTCTAGCTGGGTGCTTTGGCTTTTTTTCCCTCCTGCTGATACGCATGGACTTTCACCAAACACAAACATTCCCTTCCTGTGCAGCCTATGTGAGAAAACAGCTTTACACTGGAGAAGGGGGTTTTTAGAAATCAGCATGGGAGCTTGTGGCCAAAAACTCGTCCCGGTTGCTTTTAATGGGAATGGCTGTGCCGGGGATGCCAGCGCTGTGCTCAGCACGGGGTCTGTGCTGGAGGTGCTGGTGATGGACTCAGGTCCTTTGGGCTTCTGCATTGGAGGGAAGGTGGCTGCTGCTTAGGGGAAGGCAATCCTGTTTCTGTGCTTTTCATCCCCACAAGGGCTAAATTTCCAAGATTTTATTTTTCATATTAAATAATGCTTGGATCCCCCTCCTTAAAAAGAGTTTCTTTGCATGGGTTTTGGTGCAAACATGAAACAGAGCAGCACTTCTCGCTCTTGAGAGGGATGAGCCCAAATGCTGCTGCCTGGTTGGATGGGCAGAGCACTGTGCACACGTTTCTGAGGCTCGCAGTCAGGACCGAACCCGAGAAGCAGCCAGGTTAGCAAGCAGAGCCAAGAAGGTGCTGGCTGTCTTGGGTCCACAAGGTGAAAAATCAAAACGTGTCCAGGGAAGGCTTTGCTGTTTCTCAGGGGGTGCCCCAAATGTCCAGCTTGGTCTGAAAAATGCCGTGGGAGCATCTAGCTTTTATTGCTGTGGCGGTCTGGATGTGACTTATCGTGGGAGGAAAATAATCTCTAATTGTTTGTTTAAAAATATGGTGCCAAGTTATTAGTGGGTTTGCTGTGCTCCCCAGCACTGCGCCGTGCGCTGAGGGTTACATGCTTGGGGAGAAGTACTGAGGGAGGGTGGACCATTGCTCAGGGGTGCGATGGGACAGGCATAGGGTGCAACACGTGGGATGCCAGATTTCTGTCTTGTACATGCTGTAAAAAGTGGTCCAGGACACCCAGCTCTAGCAGTCGGTGGGGGTGGTGGTGCTTTCCAAAACTGTCGAGGCCAAACACCTCCCAGCCACTGCCAACCAAGGAGGTCACTTTGCAGCGATGGAAGAGAGTCAGAAAATTTCCGTCGGTCGGGAGCATCTCAGGCTGCGCCGAAACTCTGCGGGGTGAGGGGAGGCAAAGCTTGGTGTGGCCCAAGATGCCGAAATCGGTCAGGGCTCGGCAGAGACGGTCAGTGAGCGTCACTGCACTTGCACAAAAATACTCTCCTCTTGTGCAATGCACTGAAATAAAGCTCCCTGTTGAGAAAGAGCTCGCTCAGGATCTTGAATCCTTGTTGTGGGAGGGGATGGGATTGGAGCCAGAAAAACAACAGGCTAATATTCATATTTGAGGATTTAGCTCCTAGCTTCTGGGCGGGTTTGGAGGTGGGTGTGAAGGGGAGCGTGCACGCTCCTTTGCATGCGTTTGTACCCTGGCTGGGTATTTTTAGGCTGCAGACCGCAACGCTGCCATACTGGGGCTGGCTTTAAACCAGCTTGCTGGGGCATCGGTCACAGACAGGCTTTGGCAGCACGTTGCTCCACGCGGGCTAATTTAGCTTGCTGAGGAGGCTGTTGAATATGCAAGCGGTAATTGCTGCACTCCTTTCCTTAAAGCAAAGGCGGAAGTGACGCTGGGGTCCAATTTTCTCTTAATGACCGATTTCATTTAAGCACTGCTCAGGGCGATGTAGGCTGGATGCGTTTTTTTTAGGGCTGGGAAAAACAACGAAACTTGTCTCTCTGTGCATTGCTGAGCTGCAGCCCGTGGCCTCTGTCCTGCATGGGGACCCAGGCTGGTTCTGGTGGCTCACGTGGGCTGAGCTACTTCTCCTCGTCGTCTTCTCCCTGGGCTTCCAGGCTGAGCCCATCACACACACATTCCCACCCTTGTTTCGGTGAAAGCAGAGTTATCTGGAAGTGATTCAGCCCCATCAGTCCTGCCTTGGGATTTGGAGTTGGGCTAGAAGTTCCCCCAGTGACCCTGCCCATCCTTGGCTTCCCTGGCTTTGTACATACTGGGGCAATTAATCTTAATTTATTCTGGCCCTCTCAATAGTAAAGGCCAGGAGGCACCATGAGATCACAGTCTGACTTCTATTTATTGATCTAATTAGTGCTCAAAGGTGTAAATGGGAGGAGGGAGCAGGACACTTAACATGTGATGTTGTGTGGAGCTGGTCCCTTCTGCTCTCCTTAATGCAAGCCTCCAGGCTGCCAGGGGCTGTCAGTTTTCCTTGGTGAATAACCAATTTCTGTAGGATGTGCAGGGAAGGAGAAGGCTGCGTAGCTGGACTGTTCTGACGATGCAATCTGCGCTGTCTGCAGCTCCCCATGACCTGCCGGGGAGATGTGTTTTGATTTTGATCCATCACGTCAATGAATATTCATCAGCCTTCTGAAGATTTGATGCTATTTGCCTGCTAGCTAACATGTTCTCTCCCTAACCCTTTTTAGCTTTGGTTGCTAATAACCTACAGCCCACTCAGCCTGCACTGTAGGGTGGTTTTTTTTTTTTAATTGTTTGTAGGTGAAAATGAGGAAGCCAAATAGCTCCAAAGCTGGAAGCAGCTCAAAAATACCTTGTCTTGGTTGCTACATGACTGTCTGCTTGCAAACCCAAAATAAAATCTTGCCTTTTGGGCTGTCATTCAAACTCCTCGTAAAACATTGTGATGAGCGTGTATCTCTTAAGAGCAGGTGTTGTTCTGGTAAGAGCTTTCTGTACATTTTCGCAAGCCCAAGTCAGAGCTTGTATGTAGCAGCAGGTTTTAAGGACAAGGCTGACATGGTGTTGAAAAGGGGATGGAAAATGGCCCATGGAAGAGGAGAATGGGTCCATTTGCTCCGGACGACCTGCAGGATCAGGATCAGGCCCTGCTCTGGGCACGGGGTGGCCATACCCATGGACTGGGAATGACTAAGCGACCAAACTTTGCACACCTGAGGACGTGCTGGTCGGGTACAAGCTCCTGTACCAGGCATGAAGGACCGGGCAGCCACCAGCGTCTCCCTCTGCGCCCTGCTCCTCGTGGCTCTTCCAAACCCAGACCTGCAGCATTTTCCTCCCTGTTGGAGGGGACAGTGGTCTGTGTGCCTTTGGTTTTTTATTTCCCTCCCTTCTTTAGGAATGGAACTCCCCAGCCGGTCCCAAACCCCTCCTAACACCAAAGGGATGCCAGCAGGCTGCTAATGGATTTGCTGCGGTGCTGGTTGCTGGGGAGCCGCGATGAGAGAGATTTCACTGCAGCTGAAATTCCTCCAGTGGCTGCATTTGTCTAAATCCAAGATGCTAAATGTGAAATGAGATTTGGGGCTCTTCAGGAAGGGGGGACCCTCTGCACCAGGCACAGAGCAGTGGCACAGCCTGGCAGCAGATGATTACACCATGTGCTAAAAATCTTCAGTCAAAAACAATTTCAAGGGTTAGATCCTCCAGTGTTATGAGCAGAGCCTGAATTTTCTGCAAGGTCCCTATTTTGGGAGAGCAATATTTGTCATGCAAGCGGTGATGCAGAGTCTGACGCCAGGTCTACCCCCAACCTTCCTCCAGCACTGGCTCTCCATGGGACATGGTGGCTGTTTATTTGGGTGTATAAATCTGTAGTCGGAGGGGAATGGCTGGCTCCAGGGAGATCAGACACTCCTCTCCAAATGCTGACCTTTTTTCCCAAGTCTCTTCATAGCTTTGTTAATAAACCTGAGTCATCCATATTTCAACCTTCTGCATTAAACTTGGCTGTTTGTTCTGTCTCTTAACATCTCAGCGTCTTGTTTCGCCGAGATAAAATGTGGGGGTGTGTGGCTTTATAAGACAAATATTTAGGCTTTTTAAAAATTCTCTACTTTGCTGGTTGATTTTTCTCATTAGGGTGTTTCTCTGCCGTCCTCATTCCTCGTAGGTGGCCCTCCTCTTGTATTGTTGACTTGACAGTCCACATTTTGGGGCAGTATTTGCGTGGTCCTTGCCATTATTGGTTGGGCAAGACGCATGTCTGCTGCCCTGAGCTGTGCTCCCAACCTGAGTTTCAGAAATCAGCCAAACCCAAGCGTCTGCCGGCGTGAGTGATGCCCACGTAAGCATTGCGTAGGAAAGTCTGAGCTGCCGACACCGTGTGATTTTTATCAGCTGAAATCGCGTCTTGTAAATATTTACTGGAATTTCAAGTAGGGTTTATCTAACTAAAGCCAAGTAAAACTTTCCATGAAAAAGAGCTGCCCAACCGGTGATTGCCGGTGGATGTTTAAGGACGTGTTTAAGAGCTGGGAGGAGAATATAGGATATTTTCTCAGCTCTGCTGCTGTCTGTGGCTTGGGGCATCCTGAGCCATGTGAGGTCTTCAAGCACCGAGTCACCCGTGCTGGGGACCACGTACCTGGTGGCCCTGAGCTCATCCAGCTGTTCCTGGCAGCAGTCTCCCAAATTTGCCATACCCCTGGTCAGACTGAGATGGGGGCTGGCCTGGCTGCCACTGCACAGGGAATTCGGTGGGGACTTGCTGAGATTTGCAGCAGTGGTGGGGGTCCAGAACCCCTCTCCCCACGGGGACAGCAGTGCATCACCCTGCAACTGCTGGCTCCAGCACAAGGCAAAGCAAATGCATCTTTTTAATTCGCGCGGTTGTCAAGGTTGCCAGGACCGTAAATGTCAAATCTGAGTAGAAATATTTGGCACTTAAACCGTCTCTGCTCTTCCCCTCCACGCCGAGCGCGTGGGTGGCTTTGATTCCTCCTCCCCTCAGTGGGATGGGAGCACCACGCTGCAGGGCGGCTGCTCGAGCCTCCTCTCTTCTCTTCCCCTCAGGATCTAGTGCCCAGGAGGGAAGAACGCAGAGGATTTCTGGCCATGGCCCCAAGGAAGAGGAGCAGTCGAGGGATCTCCTTCATCTTCTGCTGCTTTCGCAGCAGCGACCACCCTGAGATCACGTACCGGCTGCGCAATGACAGCAGCTTCACGCTGCAGACCATGGAGCCAGCGCTGCCCATGCCACCGGTGGAGGAGCTGGACGTCATGTTCACCGAGCTGGTGGTAAGTAGGATGCTTTTAGCAGTTCTGCACTGAACCTTAAGCTCAGCTCCTCCCTGAAGTCCTCCCAGTTTGGGGTGTTTTCTCTTTCTTGTTAGAAAGCGTTGATTTCTTAGAGCAGGGCTTGGGGGCTGGTCTGGCTTTGTGCACCTCTGGGGTGACGCCGGAGTGTCCGAGCCAGTAAAGCAGGTTGTCCCCCGTAGGCACAAAGTGACTGTACTTGCTGGGCACTCTGCTTCCTAGAAATCTTTGGATGTGGGCTAAATTGAGATTTTGAGAGTCAGAATATTGTTTCTTTATCCATTAGTACCAAAACTCTGAAAAAAGTGGATAAAAAAAAAAATTGACAGCCAAAAAAACCTTTAATTTCCTCTAAGCGAAAATGTTTTGGTGTGGTTTGTTGGGCGGACCCAGGATGCTCCACTTTGAGTTGATTCAGCAGTGAAATAGGGTGCTTTGATGCGTAGAGGGAGCTGGGAGTCGTGATGCTGGTCGGTCACACCTCATGGTATGGCGTGTCCCGTTAGATGCCAGGAAGCCTAGTTTTGGTGAGCCACTCCACTTGGTGGAGGAGAGCTCCAGGTTGTGTTACGAGAGCCAGTTTTGCCCAGATGTCCTTCTCCATGGGCGGGATAACAAGGCAGACCGGGACACGCTGCGCAGCACGATGGGGATGAGAAGTCCCTGCAGCAGGACCTCTGCTTGCAAAGAAGCGAAACGCTGCCAGTCAAATTTGATTTGTTCAGGTGGAGCAAACGTCTCTGTTTCACATTTTTCTGCACTGATAACTTGGCCAAATCAGATTTTCCTGGGGAAATTCTTTCCTGTGGAAAACTCTCCCCGTGCCCTAGCCAAAGGTGGTATAAGGGCTTGTTGTGCTGCGGCTCGGCCAGGCTGAAGAAGGCATCTGCAGAGGCTCCTGCGCTGGAGCCCTATCCAACCTGCACGCCTGCAGTGCTTTCCTCAGCCTGGGGTTCTCAAAGCATCTCCCCCAAATCCAGCCGATGCGTTGTGAGGAGGCTGTGCCGCAGGGGACCACTGTGTGTGCAGCGAGGCAGGGACCGGCCAGCCCCGGGGCATGCCCTGGTGTGGCTCTGCTGCTCTCCATCCCTGCTCCATGCTGCCAAGATTTGGGGTTTTTTCCCCAAGCCAGGGGTGTGAATAAGGCTTGGAGGCAGCTGCTGCTCCAGGGCACGCCAGCAGCAGGAGCTGTGCTGGCTCCCTAGGGACTGAAGTCATACAGGGAGGGGGCACAGCAGGTGCCCACCGTGCTCTTGTGCACGCAGCTGGCTCCCCAAAAATCCCATCAGGCAGATCTTGACCCGAGCCAGCACCGGGTGGGAGGGAAGCTGAGCTCTACCCCGTGGGTGCGAGAGGGGAGGTTCCCATCTGGGGGGAGTGAAGATGCAAATCCCCCCCTCCATTACAACAGCTCCTTCTTGCTCTCAGTAACCTGTTGGTGTCGGGTATTAAGTTTCAGCATTAGTTAAATGGTTTGGAAAGCGTCCCACTGTTTCTGTATAAACCCACTGTGTAACATTTGGAAGGGAGACAGAGAAAGCACTCAGAGGCTTGGGGCTGATTTTTACGCCTGTGGGAGCCCGATGCCACCAGGCCCATCCAGCTCGACCGTCCGGGGCAGGAAGGCTTGTGCTCGCTCTGTGGGACCAGGGCTTCCTCCAAAGTCCTCGGTTGTCTCGGTCGATTGGGTTGAGGGAAGTCAAAGGGGTTGGAAGGGATCTGGAGACTTTGCCAGCTCGGGTTAGTCCTTGGCCAACTCTTCTCTTGCAGCTTAATAGTGGTTTTTCTGCCCCGTTGGTTCCCGTTAGGGACTCGGAGTGGCAGGAGTGGAAGATTTCAGGCCTTTGGGGATGTCACAGTGATGGGTTTGGTCAGCGGGATGGACAATCCTCTGACAGAGACCAAAGATCCAGCAGGGTCCCTGCTCCGCAGATCCCACCCTCCTGCCTACATCATTTCTTTTTGGAGCCATCCCACAAAATATTCTCTGGGCTTTGGGTTTTTTTAAGTGTGCCTGTTCATCTGAGTCGGGAAACATCCATGTTGTAAGAAATCGGTGACCGTCCTGTGCCAGAGGCAGAGGACAAGAGCCTGAGCTGCAGAGGGACTTGGAGCAGCTGACTCCAAGGTCAGCTAAAGGCTCGATCTGCTGTCCCGGAGTGTGTTTTGTGGCCTGCTGTGCATTATATGGGCACTTTGGATTTTAACCAGAGTAGTTCAATAGAATGGTTAAATAGTTGGGGTTTTATTCTGTGACCATACACGTGTGTCTCAGGAAGAGCAAGAGGGAAACAGGGGATTGGTTTTTTTTCTTCCTGGGCACAAACAGGAGCAATGAGGCTGTAAGAAATGCCCGCTTTTCATCCCGGGCTGCAGGGACGATGCGCCCTGTCCCAGCCAACGAAACGGAGCAGGCGATGGCTTTTCCCTGGCTCAGGGCAGATGCAGATGTTGTTGCTGTGGTCAGTGACTGATCACCGCTTCCTCCCGGAGGGACCTTTTGCCTTTCCCTTCCTTTCCCCCTGCCTGGGCTGAATGGGTTTTCGTCAGGGTATTGTTGGGATGTCGCTCAATCGGGCACCGGCCCCATCTGAAAGGCTTTTCTTTGTCCGCTGTCCTGCCGGGGCTCCGGCCAGCCTCAGCCACCCAGAGAGGAGCAGGTGCTGGCAGGGAGGTGCAGACAAAAGCAGGGTATTTCAGGAAGAATTACTAATTTGCAGCCCCCTCAGCTGGGATAAGGCTTTATGATTTCGTGCTGCTCTCCTTGCATCAACACTGGTGCACCCCACCAGCTCGGGTCGGTGGTGTTTGCTTCCTGGGGCTCATGCAGCGACATGGGACCCACCAGGCAACGTCCATCGGATTTAAGGAGTTTCCAGAGGCATCGGTCCTCCCATAGGACACATCAGGAGGATCGCTGTGCCATGGAGCTGCTCAGCCCCGGCAAGGGGGAATATCTGGGGCTGCAGGAGCTGCCTGTGAACTGGGGGAACAAAGCTGTGCCATCTGCCATGGCTTCTTTCAAGAGGCTCCTGCATATCCAGGCTAACAATACGGTTTTTCTTCAAAGGCTGAAATCTTGCTTGCACGCTCAGAGAAAGCACTTGCAAAGCTCCACATAATGGCACCATATGGTAGATCTTGCTGTAACAATCCTCTCTATTTTCTGCCAGCAGCTAGACTTTCCACCAGATGGGTAAATGACTGATGTCCTTTATATCTGCTTAACACTCCTTGTCACTCTGCGGTTTGCAATGAAACGCTCTGTGTGTGGTGGTGTGCATCGGCCCCGCGGGATGTGCACCGGGCAGGGGGGTGGAGGCACGGGGGGGATTGAACGGCTCAGTCCGGAGAGGGCAGCGGGAGCCCCGGCATGACCTAGGACCTCTTCCCAGTGGGGCAGGTCACAGCAGCATCTCTGTCCCAGCAGTACGAGGGCGATGGTTCAGCGACTCCTCAGACCGCCTGGATGTTCGGAAGAGGTGCTGGGTCTGGCATGGCTTTGCTTGCCCCTGGAGCAGAAGGTGCCACCTTTCCCTGGTCCCGCATCTCGCTCCCAGCCTGCATCCCTGCCAGCGGAGGAAAGGGCTCAGAGGAGATGCTGCCCCGGCCTCGCCTCGAGGCTTGTCCTCCCAAATACCCAATCTTTGGGAAAATTCCAGTTACTGGTCCCAATGGGGCTTCTCAGACTTGTCTTCAGCAATGCAGAAGAAATTAGAGCAGCCTCCATCTAGCCCTGCCTCCCGCCTGTGACGTGCAGCAGCCCGCTTTCAGCCCATGAAACCAGAGCAGGTAACCTTCCCCAGGTCCCTGCGTCCAGACTCCAGCAGCCAGCAGCTCTTGGAGACCTGGGGAGGTGACGCCGGGAAGCAGGTGGCTGGTGGCTGTGTGGTGTCCCCAGCTCCCGGGCTCAGGACGGGTACAGACCCTTGCTCGCTGACGTTGCACGCTGTTAGTGACTGCCTTCACTGGGATCTGCTGGAGGGGAGATGTTCACACATGGTCTCCGAAGTGCTGGGCTTTATACCTTCCCCTCCCGTGCCGTGGAAGGCTGCTCCATCCCTCCCTGATGCTTTATGAAGTAGTGGAAACTCAGGAGCCTAGGGAACAAAAATCAGTCTCTGGCAGCTTACAGGATTTATCACAGCATTTGTTTTTGCTGTACTTGAGGCAGTTAATGCATTTCATTTTCCGTCTGAACATGAGGAAGAACTTCTTCCCTCTGAGGGTGATGGAGCCCTGGCCCAGGCTGCCCAGGGAGGCTGTGGAGTCTCCTTCTCTGGAGATATTCAAGACCCGCCTGGACAAGGTCCTGTGCAGCCTGCTGTAGGTGACCCTGCTTCGGCAGGAGGGTTGGACTAGATGACCCACAGAGGTCCCTTCCAACCCCTACTATTCTGTGATTCTGTGATTCTGTGATTCTGTAGAGCTGCTCTTTGGAGTAGCTTATATATATATATATAAGTTATATATAACTCTTATATCTGTTAGGAGATAGCATCCCCCATCACAGAGATTAATTCTGTGTCACCTTTGAAATGCTTCACGCTGGGCGATCGGTCTGTGGCTCACGATGTGGGGTGCTGGGTCAGATGCTCCACGCATTACTTTGTGCAGACCCGTGCCTTCCCGCCCTCTCGGCGTGCCGGGACGATTGCTGTTTTATATGCGACTCTAGCAGGGAGTGGAGGACAACCTCAGTGCGAGGAGGAGGAGGAGATGGTGTGGTCGGTGTGAGCGCTGTTACGTGTTAATAGCAGCGCCGGGCTGGGAACTCATTGCTAGTGATATCCATTTTTACTTAGGAACTTAAGTAATGTGCTTTTCCCCCAGTTTCTAATCCAATAAGGAGAAAGTATGAGGTTTTGGGCCTTGCAAAACAACACAGCTTTTAAGTAACAGCTGAGGGATCAGCTGCAAAGCCAAGCTTTACATTTCATGCTTGCAGGTCAGCTGTCGGTTTTGCTGCCTGGTCTTTGCAG